CCCGCTGGGAAAGACAACAGGCCGGTCATGGGCCACAGAAGACCTCATCCCGGGAGGTGTCAAAGGTCGTGTTAATCTGCGATGGCTAACATTTGGTCTGTGCTCCAATGACTTGAATCATTTTGGACCAAGGTAACCTAGCTCAGAGCCATGCAGTGGGCTTGTGCAAACAGCTGCTGAGCAGACGCAGAGCGCACAGCTAAGCCCGCAGCCACTCACACAGAGAGGAGTTGGGGGTCTGTGGAATAAAGCAACGGAGGAACGGCAGGAAGTGGGTGAGACATGGGAGAACTCCGAGCTCAGGTCCTGATTCTGACACACTCTAGCTAAGTCACACGAAACACACAAATGGACTCCATGTCAGAAAAGAGGTGGAAATAACACCCACCTCACTGGCTTGCTTTGCAAAATGAGAAACTGTGAAGTGTCAGGATAAAAGCAACAGGACGAGTCACCTCTGAATCCTCTTTCTACAGCTTCTGTGACTTGATGCCATTTTCTGGCTCTGTTATATTTGGGATCACTTCTATAAGTCCCTTCGTCTCTAGGTTTTCCAGTCTAGTTTAGAGAATCATAAATGGACATGTAGCCAACTCTTATAATAAGCCATACACACTGCTGGGTCCTAGTCTACAGTGTGACATCTTTTGGAAAGGGCATTTCTTCTCTCTGTAGCCTGCATTATTTCTGTCTTCCATGGACTTAGCCAGAATACAGAACAAGGAGAAGTAGGGTTCATTTCTATAGATGCTAGAAATCCAGGAGTGGAGACAGAGTGTTTGAGGGCCAGTCGGTGAAGGTCAGTCAGCAAGGTCGGGCAGCAGCACAGATGTAGGCGCTGGATCAGGAGCCAGGGAGCCACAGAATGGGGAGAGAGGAAGGAGGGAGGAGAGGGGCAGGAGAGACAAGGCAGAGGATGAGGGTGACTTGGATGGATGGGAGGGTGGGATATTTACAGCTCCCACCACTGCTGCATCCTGTGCAGGGTGACTTCCAATGGTAGCCAGTTACACAGGCCGAAGCAGGCTGTGCTGGTGCAGTCCTGACCGGATTCAGTGCTGTGTTCAGTGCTTCACATGAGATCTCACCTGCATTCTAGTTAAAGGTGTGGAAACTGCTTCAGTGAGACGTGAGCTATCTGTCCACTCTTACACAGATAGCGGGTGACAGTGTGTATTTCCATTCATGTGCTGCGATTGCCAGGCCAGAGCTCTCTCCTGGCATTATACCATGATGCAGTGTTCCAGACACTTCTGACATGGTTTGGACATCTGCATGGCCTTATTTGTGTATGTGCACATGTGTGTGCGTGTGTGTGTGTGTGTGTGTGTGTGTGTGTGTGTGTGTGCAGTACGTGCAGTTGTGTGGTGCAGATGGACCTATGTTAAGGTATTATTTAAGTAACATACGTGCAGGAAAACCCAGTCATTACAAGCACCCAGCTTAGTGACTTTGGTCCCTTCTATCACATGTTCACCCCAGTCCAGCTCTGACGACTTCACCACCTGAAGGTTCTCATGCCATTTGCAGTTGGCCTGATTTTCCTCCTCAGCCCACGCAGCCACTGACCTGTTTTCTATGTCTACAAATTTTCCTTCCCTAGTGATTCCAAACTAGTGAAACATACAATACCTACTTTTGTATCAGAGTTTTGAGCTTCTTGTGTTTATAGATTAATCCATTCATCAGATTTGTGAAGTTCTTAGTCATTTGTCTTCAAGTAATCTCTCTTCTCTTTTTTCTCTCTCCTTCTGGCACTTCTGTTCAGCTTATACTGGCACACTTGAGGTTTCATGGGTCTGTGAAGGTTAATTTTTTTTTGACTTTTTGAGACAGGGTCTCACTGTGCAGTTCAGCCTGGCCTTGAGCTCACCTCTTAGTCAGACTGGTCTTGAACTCACACCCATCCTCCTGCCTTAGCCTCCTGAGTGCAGGGATATGCAGGTTAATCTTGACTGTCGATTTCATTAAACTGAGAGAAATCTAGGAAATTAGTGAAGCACACCTCTGTCTGGGAGGGTATTTGTAAAGATGACTGACATGAAAGGTGGCAAACCAAAGGGCAAGACCCACCCTGAATGTGGGTAGCATCATGTAATAGGGTGGGGACCCAGATGGAGCATAGAACATTTCTCTCTCTCTCTCTCCCTCTTCTCTCTTTCTCTCTCTCTCCCTCTCTGTCTCTCTCTCCCTCCCCCTTGGCTGTGATGAGGTGAGCAGATTTCCTCAGCCATACTCTTGGTGTTTCTGCTTTGGGTCCAAACAACCATGGACTACACCCTCTAAAACTATTTTTTTCAGGTATTTTTTTACAGTGACAAAATCTGACTAATACAAAAGTCTCTGAGAGCCAATTTATTACTTTTTAAAGTTGTTTTCTTCTCTGATCTTTATATTGGATACTTTCTACTAATCTATATCCCTAAGTTTATTGATTGTTTCTTTTACCATCTCAACCTGTCATGGAGCCCCACTTGGAACTTTTTCATGGCTCTCAAATTTCCATTCTGTTCTGTTCTTTTTTCATTCTGTCTTGTTGTTATAATACATGTATGTTAATTGAGAATTTCTACTTATTAATTCACTGTTGCCACACTTTGATTTTTAAACTTCACTGTGTCAGTTCTATGAATGTTTTTATAATAGATATTTTGAAGTCTTTGATTATTAGTAATTACATTCCTTCAGAGACATGTTGTATTAATCATCCTAGCTTCTACCACATACGTGGATTACTATCATTAAATTTTTTGGATGCTTTACCCGCCCCAATTTTTTTGTTGAAAGGTAGATGTTATAAATAACACTTTGTAGCAGCTCTGTATTCTGCTATTTTTTTCCCTTAAAGATTTCTTGAGAGTGTTTTCTTTCCCAGTAGCTTCTCTGGGCCAAAATAATGAACTCCTGCAGTAGGCTGCACTGTGGCTGAGATGTGTGTGGTGGTTTTAACTTGTGTATCTCAGGTGGCTTCCTAGAGGCTGCACCTGTGTCCAGCTAGCTGCAGTGAGGCTTCTGTCCTTCTCAGTAGACTGGCCGGTGGGTAAGGAGGCACATGGAGGGTCAGCCCCGGTTAGGTGTGCTAGGCCTTTGCTTTCCCCAGCGCTTTGGAATCTCCAGGATCAGCTTGAAAACCTTGACCCCTGCAGGCGTCCACTGCAGAAGTACGAGGACAGGACCAAGACTGTGCGCTTCCCAGCTGTGACCACAGCCTGTGCTGCAGAGAACGCAGCTGGCCCTCTCCTAGTCACCCACTGCCATGGCACACGCCGCCTGCGTCGCCTGCTGCTCTGGTCAGTGACCTTCCGCTGGCCTTGGACAGGCTGTGTCACAGACTGCCCCCGTGGCCTGACTGGCTTGCCGTGGACCACCTCTGTTCTTAGCTGGCACCAGTCGGTCAGTTTCTGAGCCCCAAAATATTGTTATTTGAAACCCTTTTCATCTTATATTTCTTCACAGGGACAGAATTTGCTGATCTCCTCGCTCGGTCAGAGCTACTTTTTTTTACTGTCTTTGCAACTGCTCTGGAAAGTCCAAACTTAACTAAAAAGTTTAATTAACTGTGACAGCCCTGCTGCTTTCTTTGTCATGAAATTCTGGAGCAAGAGCCTGCCTGGTTAACCACTCTGCATGGTGATTTACCTCTGAAGTAGGAAGCTGCTGGAATTCTGTGGCACATCCGCTCTGGTAGTTACTGAGCGTCCTCAGATCTGTCCCACCTGCAAAGAAAAGTGATATTTTCTGGGCCCACCCCTGTAGAAGGAGAGGTAGAGAAGTGTTGTGGTCAGGGGTTGTGCAGAGAACAATTAATATTAAGACATGGAATTCATAATATTATTTTTATGATGATCACCCAGAGTTAACATAAGAAACTACAGGAAATCTATCCACAACACCAAAGACATACAATATTTAACCAAGGCCTGAATCCCACTGCAATGTCCTGTATGAGTCCAGATGTAGACCTAGAGCTCAGGACAATGCCTCCCACAAGTCCAACTGGAGGTCCAGAGCCCACAAGAAGGACTCATGCCAGTCTCTTTTATGGATCCGTGCCAGGAAGGCCCAAAGGTCAGCAGTGGAAGCTAGAAAGTCCATGCCAGCAGGGTGAAGGAACTGTGCTGGTAGGTTGAGGGTTCTATGCTGGAGCCGAGAAGTCACACTCACAACAAAGATCAGGGCTGTCCTGAAAGGCACCACAGCCATCCTCAGCGACACGGAGGCCCCAGCTCCTCCCATGACAAGCACAGTTGGGTACATGCCAGGAAGCCAGTGTGATGAGTTCATCCTGGAGACCAAGTGGCACATGTCTTCCCCTTCGGAGCCAGGAAGCAATGCTTGATGTGAGGACCAGAGTTTCTCCAGGAGGACCAACGGCTCAAACAGCAACTTGTAGGAGAACCCACAATGGCTCAATGCCTCTTTTCTCCTTCTCCATGTCTCTATTTATGCTGGCAACTTTCCTTAGGTGAAACATCTATGCTTAGCACCATGATGATTTAATTCCACTGGCCTTAAGTTGACCACCAGTTTTTAATCTATGCGGTAAAGGAACCTGTTTGGGCAGAAACTTTAGTGTGCCTAGAAAAGAGGTTAGATAGGAGACTCACAGAGGGAGGAATCAGGTATAATTTCAATAAAGTTCTCAATTTGTAGGCGTTTTCAAAATGGGGTGCAAACAGCACTACACACCTGTGATCCCAGCGCTCTGGGAGTCTCAGGCAGGGGGCCCTCAGCTCTGGGGCCGGCCTGGGCAATATAGCACTTTTCAGAACAGTGGAACAGGGGCTGTAGCTTAGTGCGTTACCCCACACTCAGTTCCCGGTGCAGCAAGAGGAGGGGCCACATCCTGCGGGTAAATATCCCCTTCCAGGTCTATGTTGGCGCCGGAATTCAACAACTTGAGGCAACAAAAGGGTCCAAGGCGTGCAGAGCGAGCCTGAGGCTGCACAGAATCTTTTCCTGTCTCCTAGGAGACAAAACCCTTCCCGGTCTGTGCTAAGGAGGGAATGAAGTCAGCTGCTGAACAAATGAGGAGTAGAAAACGGGATTCCCCAGGTGGCTGGGGCTGGTGAGGACGGTGCAGGAGGATACATGGCAGAGCGCGGGGCAGGGGTGGCATGTGTGGCGACCCCGTACTTGCCCATGGGGGCCACCAGCGCTGTCACTTTACTGGTGTGGACTGGGAGCGAGGTATTCAAGTCCTGCCCTCAATTCTCAAGAGGATGGACACTGCTCTCGTGGAGGTGTGGAGCAGATTCCTCAGCAGGTGCTGTTCTGGGTCTTTCACGGGAGCCTTTCTAAGGCTGCGAGGCCCCCTGCAATCCCTACTCCACGATGTCTCTAGCACTGAAGGGGTGGGTGGTTTAAAGTACTGTCCCTTTTGTACTGGCTTGTAGTGTTCCTCCCACAGCTGGGTACTGGTATATGGTGTTAGTTGGCTTCTGACCATCAGGCTGGCCTGACATAAAGGGACAAATTCCACTTGGTCACTGTATGTTGCTGTTATTTTTTTTTTTTTTGAAAGTTTTGATGTTCTTATTCATAACATTCTTTGAGCTGTAGTTTGTTTTTCTTATAAGATCTGTAGGTTTTGTAGGCAGGTAATGGTGGTCCCATAATTTTTGGAAGACTGTGAAAAATTGGTTCTACTTTTTTTTTTTTTAATGTTTGGGAGAATTGGCGAGAAAAGTCTTCTAAAGTCAGGCTTTTCTTTGTGGGAACTTTAAAGACTATTAATACAGTCTTTTGTTACATTGAATTGTCCCTGGTACTTGGTGTGTTTGTGAGTCTGCATAGTGACCCTGTGTTTCCTGATTTGCTATCATTCAGTTGTTAGTGAAACTCTCTTAGGATTCTTTTACTTATGTAAGTCACTACATCATACCCTCATTTGTCCCTAGTTTAAACAGTTTACATCTTTTCTCCTTGGCCAAACATTTCTCAACTGTGTTAAAGTTTTCAAACAAGCAATGTTTGGTTTCTCTGATTGTCTTTATTTTTTTCTATAACTTTCCACTCTGGTCTTTGTTAGTGCCTTCACTTTGTTTGCTTAAGAGTTATTTTCTTTTCACTATCCAGAGTCTTTGGAAGAACATTACTAATCTGAGATCTTTCTTCTTTAATAAGATTTCCCTCCAAGATCTGGGTTAGTGGTATTCCATCTATTTTCTTGTGTCACATGCTCATTTAATTTACTTCAAAAGATTTTCAAATTTCACTTGTAATTCGTCTCTGTCTCTGGTTATTTAGAAGTCTCTTGTTTCACACCTACTTGTAAACTGACCAAACTTCCTTCTGTTACTGACTTACTGTTTCATTGTATTGTGATCACTGCACTTTAAAAAAAAGCAATCTTTTGTCTTACTTGTGGCTCATCCTGTAGCTTACCACGTGATCTAATCTGTGGCTTTTCCCAAAGAAGAATGTACTTCCTCCTGCTGTGGGGTGGGTGCTCCATCCTTGTCTTGGGTTCTTGCTTCCCAGGGTTGTTTAACTATTCTGTGTCTTTTAAAATATTTTCTTAATTGCTCTCCCCATTACTGAAAGTTGGATTTTGAGGTCTGCAAACATTATAACTCAACTTTCTATTTCTCCCTTAATTTCTATGAAGTTTCTACTTCATAGAATTGGAGCTCTGCTATTCTATACATATATGTTCATAATCAGGGCATCTTTCTGATGGACCAATGCTTTTATTATTATGAATGTTTCTCATTAAAAATCACCTTAGTTTTCAAAGTGCATTGTGTGTAATATTCATTTAACTCTAGCTTTCTTACAAATGCCATTGGCATGACATGACTGTTTCCACTGTTTGGCTTTCATGCTGTTTGGTCTGAGGCCATGTTTGAGGTACGTGACGTTTCCGTGAGTGTTAGGAAGCAGGTGCGTGTGTGGAGCACAGCTCGGTTTCAGTCCCTCTCCCATCCCCATCCCTCCCTTCCTCCCTAAGTCTCCTTTCTCCATTTCACATTATTTTGTAGTTCATGTTTATGACACCTAATGTCTCTATTTGCTGTGGGAGTTCGGCAGCTGTGTCTGGCACATCTCTTGCTTCCCTTGGCCTCCCCCACGCCTGCCTTCGGTCTCCAGGACCCTTTTCCATTTTCCAAATCTACCTCCCATTTTCTTCTGTGCATCCTTTATTTCCTCTTTATTTGAGATTTCCTTTATCCATTCATCTGCTGGTGGGCACACAGGCTCTTGCAGGATGCTTTGTAAGAATTATGCTGCTATAAACATTGGTCTGCATGAATTACTGTAATGAAATGTCTTTAGTTCTCTGAAAAAGATACCTGGGAGGAGAACAGCTGGATCAAATAGAATTTCTAATTTCTGTTCTATGAGGAATCTCCATACTGATTGCCACAACAGTTTTGCTAGTTTGCATTCCCACTAACAATGTCAGAGTCCATTTTCACTGCAGACTCACCACTGTTTGTTATTCTTTGATTTCTTGATGATCATAATTCTTTCTGGTATAAGCTGAAATCTTAGCATTGTTTTAATTTGCAATGACAAAAGATGTTGAACTTTTTTTCATCTGTTACTTATTTATGCTTCTTCTGAGAATGTCTACTCATTTTACTTGCTTATTTCTTGATTGGGTGTTTATTTTAAGTAGTCTAAATTTCTGAGTTCTTTATATATTCTTGTTATTAGTCCCCCATCTGAATAGTAACTAGCAAAATTTTTTTCCATTCTGTAGGTAATTACTTCACTCTAGTAATTGTTTGCTTTGCTGGGCAGAAGCTTTTCAATTGATACAATCCAATTTGTTGACTCTTGCTGTTGTTTTTGTGCAGTTAGGCTTCTGTTTAGAAAGTCTTTGCCCACACCCTTAAAGGGAAGTGTTTTACCTTTTTATCTGCCTTTTTTATCTCATTGTTTCTGTTTTAATGTTTAGTTCTTTAATTTTTTTTTTTTTTTTTTTTTGTCTTTTTGAGACAAGATCACATTATGCAGTTCAGGCTGGCCTTCAGCTCACTTTGTATCCAGGCTGGTCTTGAACTCTGAGCAGTCCTCCTGCCTCAGCCTCCCTAATGCTGGGACTACAGGCATGCACCACCACGCCCGGACTTTGATCCATTTTGAGTTTAGTTTATTATGTAGCGAGAGGTGCTTGGTCCAGCTGCAAACGTACAGCCAGTTTTCCCGCCGCCTTTATGGAAGAGGCTAGCTTTGCCCCAACACATGCTTTAGGCTTCGTCACTGAAAATCAAATAGTTGGATGTGTTTGGGGAGGTTTCTATATCCTCTGCTCTGTCCCACTGACCCATGTGTCTGTTTTAGTGCCACTACCATGCTGTTTTTTCTCTGTTGCTTTTAAAATTTCCCTCTTATTTTGAACTATACTATGTCTGTGTTTTAAGTCTGTATTCTACTTAGAACTGGTTGAGCTTCCTGAACATCCACATCATTTTGGGGGGAAGATTTTGGCCTGATTTCTGTGACTCTTTTGCTCTTCATTTTTCTCAATTTTCCCTCTGGCGATCTCACAGTGTGTTCATCCCTGGGCTCAGCGCGGCTTCACATTTTCTAAGGCTGTGCACATTTTCTTTGCTCGTTAGACCTCAGTCTCTATTGTTCTGTGTTCAAGGTAATTGATTCTTGCTTCTTCCAATTCCCAGCCACTATTAAGTTCCTTTAGTTGTTTTTTTTAATTCCAGATAAAATTTTCTCTTTAAAACCTGTTTTTTTCTTCCTTTGTGTTATCATTTTTATTGGCTTCAGTTACCTGTGGCAAATGGTAGTTCAAAATTATTACATGGAAAGTTCCAGAAAGAAACAACTCATACATTTTAAAAGGTGTGCTGTTTTGAGCACTGTGATGAAATTTTGCACCACAGAATGTCTGCTTCGTGGGACGTGACTGATGCCTTTTCTAGCACGCCCGCACTGTAAAATCTACCCATACAGCAGTCCCTTAGCAGCTGTCTCAGTGATCCTACCGACTGTTAGAGGAGGGCAGTCCTTGTTTCACTGAATAAAGGCTCTGAGCTTGGGAGCTGGGATGCCAGCAGTTCTGATATGTCGAAGAGAGGCGGTGAACTGTTTCCTTTAAACTAGAAGACCTAAGTCCCTAGTTTAAGAAGAAATAAAACTAGTTTTAATATAGCATATTGTTGCAATTCTTCTACTTTATAATTTGTTATTGTTGTTGCTCTCTTATGATGCCTAATTCATCAGTTAAGCTGTGTGATGTGTGTGTAATCAGCATATGTAAAATTCAAGCGTCAGTTGGGAGTCTCAGAACACAGGTGATGCAGATAAATAGAAGAGAACTACTGTATTCCCTATTTAATTAGATAGTTTCTTGATACTCTCTTTTGTTTCTCCAAGTGTGGTTTTCTTTTACTATAAAATATATTTATACTGAAAGCTTTAACATCTTATGGTAAGTTGGGCATCCAGGCCCTTTCAGGGCAGTTTCCTCTTTCTCATGCTTGAATAATATTTTCCTGCTTTATTTTTATGCTTCCTTTCCTTGCATGGGTAAAACTGCGCATTTTGGGGAATATACTGCAGCAATCTAGAAACTTATGACTTCGTTTTCTGAGCTTGCTGTTGTTGGACTTGGCTTGCAGGTTTGCTTAGTGAGGGACCCGGTCACTGTGTGATGTTGAGATCTCCCTTCGTGGACCCTGCATCCACAGCGAGGATGAGCGCAGGTCACCCTGCAGGCTCTCTTCATGTCTTTTCCTCTTATTTCTGTTTAGCTGTCTCCCTCTGTTGGTTTTGAGCCGACCTCCACTAATTGTCAAGAGGTTGCTCTGTCTTTCTGACAATTTTCTGGTACAAATTTGCTCAGCAGTCTGAGCCCATTAAACCCTGGCTCTTTTCAGTGGCAGTTTTGGAAGCTAGGCTTTGCAGAGTGTTCTGAGTGCAGGAGGCTCTTCTGAGATGATCATGCTCTCTCTGTTCCTGCCTGGTAAACCAACTGGTCTGTGCTTTAGTTTGTTGTGATGAGGAGAACAGCTTGCTCTTCATTTCTTGACAACAAAATTTCCTCCGACTCTGAGATAACCCATAGGTTTAAATGCTCCAGAATTTGTTCCAAGCAGCATTAGTTGTGGCAGGGAGAGTTTTAGGACTCTGTGATCTTAGGGCTGCCTCTCTGCCTGGGATGAGCTCAGAGCCCTGTCCATCCTAAGGGAAACCACTTCTCTCAGAGTGATGCTCCAAGAGCGGCAAGCTTGAAAGGTTCTTGCCATAAAATAAATTACTGAATGGGTATGCCGGTGGGCTAATGAGGCGGAAGGCCAAAGCGGGATCATGGACCACTTCCTGCTTCTTCCTCAGCCTGAATTGCAACTCCCCTTTCTGTCTGCACGAGGAAAAAACCTCCAATCAGCTCCTCATGCGTATGAAGCCCCACCCTAAGCGCCACCCTGGTCAGAGGTTACGTATGTCCTATACCCACATTCTGGTTGAAGGAGACAGCGCAGCTGCCATGGGTCGTGTGATCTTTTCCATGTCCTCAACTCAATAAACCTGTTCATTTTGTATTTTTGCTTCTTTATTGCACCAGAATACTCTAATATAATGGTGCTGTGACTCAGATGGCAGAATGTGTTAGCTCCCGGAGTCCCCCTGCCTATGAACCACCTATTTTTTCCTCCAAGACTGTTAAATTTGCTGCTGCTAATCTGCATGCAGCAGTGACCTCCTTACTCATTATAGGTGAGCTGTCACATGAGGTTTTCTGTTTCCGTTCCTAAAATCCACAAGCTTGCATCAGAAAACTATCCATTGCCAACTCTGGACAGAGATGGCAGTTTTTACACTCCTTAGGCCACACAGCTTGAGGCAAAACTGTTACGTTTGTTCCCTGGGTCTCCGCCCTGCACTCTTCTGGTGAGGGCCAAGGAGAATGGGTGTTGGAACTTTCTGTGTCACACTTTCAAAACAGTGACGACTTTTTGATAGGTCTGCTATCAGGGCAGCTTCCGTGTTCCTTGGTGGGAGCTAAAGCTCTTAAGTCCTGAGGCAAAGTTGTTCTCTCAGCTCAGTTATAATTCAGTCATGGAGAATACTATTTCCTGTTCCGCAAAAAACACACCTCTGGGGCTCCTGGTTCATAACCTTGGTGCTCTTGGCCTCTAGAAGGCTATAAAAACCAATAAGCTGATCTTTTATTTGTGCTTTTGTCACGATGGCGGCAAGTTGGCAGAAACCCTTCATCTTTAGGCCTTTTTCACGTTAAGGACGTGTCCTTCTCTCACTCTGTCTTCTGTGATGGCCCAAATACTTCTGGCTCTCTCTGCTCCTCCAGGATCTTTCCTTCCCTGCCCAACAGACCCCTTAGATGAGGCATTTCCTAACCCCTGCATCTCTCAGACCAAATTCTGCAGCCTTCTCAGCCAGAGGTTTCTGTCCCCAATGCACCATCCTCTTCCCCTTCCTCACCTCAGTGGCCTCTACTCCTTTCCTTAGTTTCCCTCCCCAGTCTCCAATTTTTTAAACCCTCCACCTAAGCCATTTACCATATCGGATGGTTCTTTGTCCTCTACCCCTGCATCACCATTTTCCCCACCAGCCCACCATACTGGGTCTCATGTGTTCCAGCATTCCAGCAAGCCACATGGTTCTCAGCAGCCATCTTGCTGCAGCTCGCTTGGAGGACAACTGCCATCTTTTGGCCCTCCTCCACACAATAGTGCGCTGCCATCTTGCAATGGGTCACAGGATCAATAGTCGCCCTCTTGTGGTCCTTCATCATGGGACCAACAGCAGCCAACTATAGGCTGGCCCTGAGGGATAAGTTCATATTCATGTTCCTTTTGTCCTTTCTAAGCTATCTCAGATTAGCCATAAATTAGGTTCCTTTTATGATATTATATCAAGAGATCTCTATTAATTGATCTACAAAAAGGTTCACACTATATTATAGTTCAAATTGGCCAAATATATTTGAGTGCACTCTGATTTTGTAAGATGATTGTCAGTCTGTATATCTGTTTGTCCATTTGCCTGCTCTGTAAACAGCTGTTTCTTTTTATTTGAGCTCAATAATTTTTCCTCTTCTTTTACATTTTCAGGGCATTTAATCAAGGTTTATTTGGGTTATAGATTTTAAAAAAACATGCTTCCACCTAGGTTGCCAGATGGTCAAAATGATGCTAAAATTGGTTAAGCAAAATCCCTTGGGGTGAGGGGACATTGGACAGGACTTCAATTGATAAACAAGAAAGTGCCACCTGGTAACTTTAACCAGCTCTTGTTCATTAATTGGAGGCCCCAAAATCTCCATAGTCTTATGGGAAACACCCCAACTAAAGTTCGTATAGCTGGGACCATTCATTGTTGCTGATACGATGGTACATTCATGCCTTCAAATATAAAATTGGTATCGTTTATGATTACAACTGTTTTCTTTCATATCCAGATGTCTGCCTGTTTATGTGTTCCAGCCAGGAGATTCAGATCAGACTAACATGAGGTCACCAGTCAAATCATAATTTTTAAACAAAAATTTATGTAATGTGTATGTTATACTTAGAGATGCTTAAATAGTAAACAGTCCAAACAATGTCACAAATTTCTTCAGTGCTCAAATATTAAAACATCCATGGTTAACAGAAAATGGTAGTTCCATTTAATTTTCTATGTTAATACTGTCTCTGCTACACTGTACTGTTATCAATCTTCTGGATGTTCAAAAACTAAATTAAGAGATAATTATAAATTCCTTTTGGATTCCTTTTGCTGGGATTCACCAGATCTTTTCCAGAAAAAAGGTTATATGATGCATATTTGGGCCATAATTAACTATACTCAACTGGTATAAATGACACTGCAGCTGATCTCTCTCTTAAATAAAAAGGTAAAATTAATAAAACAGCCATCCTCCAAAATCAGATGGCATTCAACATTCTAACAGTACAGGAGATACTTACACAATTGTAAAACCTAAATGTGTGTAATGACAAATGAATGACATGTCCGTTTCTAAAATTCCCTGGACCTTACCCTCCTATGGAAAGCCATTACTAATACCCTGTTGATTGTATTATTTGACTCCTGCATACTTAATTGATCCTTTCCCTTTGTCTCTTTTAGACTTAAAGCTGTACACCTACCCAGGAAAAAAACCAAATGTCTTGTAACTGTGGAGGAGACAGATACCTTCCACTGTGGGCCAGATCCCAAGATAAAAGGCAAAATTGGCCCGCAAACCCCACAGGGAGACCTTAATATGGTTTTTTGTGTTTTCAACAAGAGAGATAAAAATTTTAAAAATAACAATCTTATCTTTTAGCAGTGAGACTTGGAGCCCTGAGATAGATAAACTGAGACAAGGTGGAGCTGCCCGAGCCCCTCTCAGACCATGCTTCAAGTGTGACAAAGAAGGACATTGGACAAGAGAGTGCCCCAACCCCAGTGTTCTTCTGGGGCCTTGCCCCTATTGCAATTGTAAAGGCCATTGAAAAAGCAACGGACTGTCCTACCACCAGAGAGCAGGTAAGCCATCCTCTAACTCCTTGCCTTCACAGGAAATCTTGTCACCACCGGATTCATCACTGGCTGATCTACTTGGACGTGCTGCTGAAGACTGATGGGGCTCAGGGCCCACAGTCCTCCATTAAGATATCCTTCTCAGAGTCCCAAATCCCACTGGAGGTCTCAGGTAAGACATTCTCTGTAGTTGCGGACATAGAGGCCATATATAGTGTTCTTCCTGAGTTTTCAGGCTGCTATATTAAGCCCTCAGTCTCTATAGTGGGTGATGATGGCCAACCAACACAGCCTTTGCAGACAGGACCTATTCCAGGTTCCAGACTCACTTCTTCTCTGGTCTATCCCATAGTTTGAGATATCTCTAATCCCACCTGCACTACCCATGCCATGCCTATTTTAATTAATCTCAGGGATCCTTCAATTTTTCCTTGCATTCCCCAATACCCCACAGCTCCCAAGCTTTTACAGGTCCTTAAACCTATAATCAAGCACATTTTAGACAATGGTTTTCTTAAACCTCCCATTCACCCTATAATACTCCCATTCCCCTGGTATTCAAGCCTGATGGGTCTTATCATCTAGTGCAAGAACTTGGGGGTAATAAATAATGCCATTACCCCAATCCAGCCAGTAGTCCAAGCCCTTATACGATGCTCTCTCATATCCCTCCCTCTACCACTAACTTTACAGTCATAGATCTTAAAAATGTCTTTTTTTTTATTCCTTTGTGTTTATGCAGACTGACCCAGATACTCTGAGGTCTCAACAACTTACACCTGTCATCTCTATAAGAAACCTCTCCCTAGGGAGACATACCACCCCCTTCTTTTCCTATTCATCAATTTCACAGACACACTCCTGGTCAGGACTGACAGGTAGATTTTACACACATGCCCACCACAAAACTCAAATATCTTCTCACCTTTGTTTGTCCTTTTCCAGGATAGATAAAAGCCTTTCCCACAACCAGGAAGACTGGTGATTTACTTACTAAAGTCCTGTTAACAGGAAATCATCCCAAGGACTACAACTAAGGTGGAGCAGCCCCTACTTGATCTTCTTGGCAACTACAACAGTGGTCACAGTTGCTGGACTGCCATCCTGGTTCTACATCACTCAAGCTAAGTGGTGCCCTCCCTGCCCTAAATCTAAGCATCCTGAGTGGTCATCTCATCTTCTATCTCCCACCCATCTCTGTCTCACCAAGGCCTCACAGCCACAACTCTCGGGTTAAGTCATGTTTTGTTGTCCTGTTTGGTCCCTGATGCCTTACATTCTATTGGTGAATTTTTTCACTATAACTATCTTAGTTCTCTCCACCCTCAGCTGTTTAGTTAAACATGAGACTCCTGTAGGTCTAAGATCTCATGTCACTTATAGTGACACAGCCATAGCCCTCCCACCCCTCTTATTTTTTCCAGCTCAAGCCCTACATACCTACTTTTTAACTGTTACCCTTTCAGATGGAGACAGAATGACCTCTCATAACTTCACTCCTCCTAATCCCTCACTTATTTTTCAGAATTCTCCCTCACTGTGGTCCTGATGGAATGGCATAGTGAAACCTTTCCTTCTACCTCACCTGGATCCTTAAATATGATAGTGGCCTGCCTTCTCGTGGCACCTTGTCTCTTTGTTTTTCCAGTCTAAGATGAAGGCATTCACCAATGATGAAGTTTTCCTGCCTGAAACACCTGGCACCAGCTTCTACATGGGCATCAACAATCATCCTGTCAACCTTCCTGAACCCCAATATGACACCCCATTCAGCAAGAAGTAGTAAGACAGAGACTTCACCCTTTTCCTAACAATAAAATGATGGGAATGAAAGGTTCTTGCCCTAGTATAAATTACTATATAGTTATGGCCGTGGTCTAATGTGGTGGAAGGCCAAAGCAGAAACACCTACCACTTCCTGCTTTTTCCTCAGCCTCAATTGTAACTCCCCTTCCTGTCTGCATTCGAAGAAAACTCCAATCATCTCATGCATCATCAATACCCACCCTAAGCACCACCCCTGCTCAAAGGTTACATTTGTCCCATACCCCCATTATCTGGTCGAAGGAGGCAGCCTCCATGGGTTTTGTGCTCCTTTCCATGTTCTCATTTCAATAAAGTTGTTCTCTTTGCACTTTTGCTTCTCTATTGCGCCAGAAAACTCTAACAATGTTGGGTGGGGCCACAGCTCTGGATCACCTCAGCATGTCTCTCCCAGTGCATCTTGGGACCAGAAGAAGCATGTTGAGGTATCAACTTAGGCAATAAAGGAGACCGGATATAGATTATTCATAGGACCCACAGATTCTTGTTATTCCTAAGGAGCCTTAGTAGATTTCCTTAAGTAAGTATACTTTTTCACAAGGTGTTGACTAAGGACAATTTCTAGAGACCTACAGTAATGAAAAAAAGATTTTTTTCCCTGAATCAAGCATTTGACTCACTTGAGTAGGCTTCTATGGTGCTCATCACAGTTGTGTCCTGTAAGTTGTTTTCTGTAAATTAAGCTTTCTAAAGCTATAAAGGAAAGCAAGGGAGAAACATAGGGGAGAGAAAAACAAATCGATAGTTTGACATCTATTTGCTCGTGGGTACAGGTGATTTAGTCAGCTATCTTTATTCCATTGATTATAGCATTTCTTTAACAAAAAGCTCTTTTGTGCCTGTGCACTAATATAATTAGGTAATTGTTGTAATTGATGCTGTGCTTCATAAGTGATTACTGAGTGGGAAGCTATCTGCTTACACAGCCCACTCCATGCCTGATGTGGGTGCAGGAGACAGGGGCTGGTGTGCAGAGCCAGCCTGACTGATAGCCTGAATATGCATGCTCCACAGGACCCTGTACCCAGCAGAAAACCTTTCAGATAGAGTGGACCCAGAAGAGATAAGCAGTGTGATTAAGAACTTTGTGAAATTTGAAGCCTTGACTTATATTTTCATTTTAATGGTGTAAGTTCCAGGCTTATGTTTCCACTTTGTGTTCACATTTTTAGTTCCTTTAATTCCCTTTTTACTCAAAGTTGACTGTAGTCTTTTTATTTGAAATGTTTGCTTTGAAACATCTAAAAATAGAGTACAGAGAATATAATGAAAATTATCATTATGTTTCCTAACCAGAATTATGTCTTTCAGATCTGTACTTTTAAAAATGAGTGTTGTCTTAGATACAGCTTTAAAATGCTTTTGATGTTATTTCTATACCCACATCCCATTCCAGAAAAAATAAAAATCGGTATCATAAGTTCTAAGTTCTACATATATTCTTTCTATGGACACGTCTCTGCATACACATACATATACACATGCCATACTCAGGTTGTGTTCGATATTAACTATTTGTAAGTATGTTTACCAAATGCCTAGGAAAAAAATTATGTCTTTCTCTCTTCCTAAATTAATGGAAAGTAAAAGATAATGCCTGGAATTTGACAAGGATTTGGTAATTTCATTTTTGTGGGTGGGAAGTATAAGAAAAAGGTAAATTTGGAAGGAAGATATTCAGTTTGGCTTTTTGAGTTTGAAATGTTCCAAGGCACCCATATACACATATCTAAATTTAGAGAAAGGAGTTTGCTTGAAGAATCCTGACCCAAATGCAATAGAATAAGTTATTACTGAAAATAATCGTTATGAATGAAAATCCTTAGGAAATATAAATCCTAAACCTCAGAAGTGTTTGTACCAAATACCTCTGGCAAATGAAGTATAGCAGTAAATCACTGGAAATGTTCCTGATAAAAACATAACAAGTAAATTTGGCATCTATATCAACTAATGGCAACAGATAGCATCCTGGAGAGGATAGGAATGACAAGAAGACATGAAACACACATAAGAGGAAAAGTAACAGGCAGAAAGAGATAACACGATGTCCTATGAGTAAAGCCTTAAGCCAATAACAAAGAACTAACTCAACAGGAGAATTAGTTGTACAAGAAACATGTCATAGTCCAAAGTTTTCCTATGACTCAAGAATCACATATTTGAAATGTTTTCTGTGAGATGAATAAGCCGTATGTAAATGAGAAATGAAATGTCTCAAGTATTTAGGATTCTACACAACCATAAGTTTTTAAAAAGTATGGGAAAAATTATCAAATTTTACTGAAGGGCAGATGATGGAACTTGGTTAAATCAACAGACATGCACATCTTTTGGAAGATGAGAGTGTTCCTCAAATTGGTTTATCAAATTAATACAATTCCAATAAAAGTCCCAACAGAATGTTTTCCTTCAGGGGTCTTAAACTCTTAGAAAACTAGCAAAGAAAATATGCAGACATTTATTTAAACCAATTTTATAAAGGCAAACAAGGAGTTAGTTCCATTTTCTTTTTAGGTGCAAAATCTACTGAAAAGTTAGAGAGTAAGGAAACACCCATCATGGTACTGAGGGCCAAGAGGTTTGGCTGCAGCTTTTCTAACCATTGTTATCATTTCTGCCTAGCCTAGAGCTACCTTTCAGCTTTACAAAACAGCTTTGTTAGGTATACAATATCTTAATGTAATACCCAAAATGTGAAGAATATATTACAGCAATCACTTATGATGCCCAGAACCAGAAAAATCACAGCATGAATTAGGGGAATCAACAGTAACTGCACTGAGATGAATTAGAAGGTGGACTTGCCTGACAAACATTTTAATATAACTATCATAAAAATTGTTTGAAAAACAATTAGGAATTTTCTAATACAACTTAAGAATAGGAATCTGAGCAAGTGGAAACCAGGAAGAAGAATTGGATAGAAATTACAAAATCGACAAATATAATGAGTCAAAAGTGAAAAGCACCCTGCCTTACTGAATGATTTTAATACAAAAGTAGAGAAATAATGGAAGGTAGAATCAGCGAAAATGCAGCTAGATGATTGAATTTATCCAGTTTAAACATCAGAGAGAAAACAGAATGAAAAGCAGCACAGTATCATGTCAAGCATTTAGTCTACTATAGCCAGACAAGTAAACATTTTCCCAGGAGGAGGGAAAAGAGACTAAAAAATTATACCCAAAACTAAAGGTTAAAATTCCTCCAACATTAAAAGTATGCAAAAGTATTCAAATTCAAGAATTTGAGTAAAACTGCAATGGAATATATCCAAAAGACAACACCACTGAAATTCTGAAAACTAAGGACCAAGAAAAGGTTTTGATTGATGGTAGTCAGAGAGAAATGACATATTCCTCCATGGAAACACCAGTTCACAAGTGAACCCATTTGAAATCGAGATGCCGGAAGAAAATGACAAGTTTTCAAGTTCTGAAGGAAAATTGACTGTCAGTTGTGAATTTTGTATCTGGTTAAAATACTCTTCAGAAGTGAAATGGAAATAAATCCATTCTTAGATGCAGGCATACTAAGAGAGTTATTATGCATTCAGCTACCTTTAAAGAATCACTAGGAGAAGTCCTCTAAATGGAAACAACTTCATAACAGAAGTAATCTTGGATGGTTGGAAAGGAAACAGGAAAGTCAGCATGCAAAAATAAGAATAAATACAAAAACATGCATTTTTCATGAATTTCCTAACTCATATTTCATTTTGAGCCAAACATTACAATTCACTCTGCTGTGCCAGTACTCAGTGAATACAGAATGGATCCTTGAAATGACTGTATTTTAAAATTGTGGATGGTAAAAGAGCCAGATGAACCAAGCCCTCTGCCCTTCACTCAAAGTGGTACACATTGAACATCCCTAGTCTGAAAATCTAATCCAAAATCCCCCAAACCTGACATGTTTTGAGTATCACTATGATGTCACAAGTGGAAAATTCCATACCATGAAGTTGTTTTATGTACAAAGTTCATATAAAATTATCTTTAAGCTATGGGTTGCATATGAAATATAAATGAATTTCATGTCTAAACGTGGATCTGATTCCTGAGATGTCTTATTACATACTTGCAAATATCCCCCAAATCTGAAAACATCTGAAATTCAAATCACTCGTTCCACTTCATGTAAGGGATACTCAAACTATAAAATGCTAATACCGATTTGTTTGTGTGTATGCATATGAATAGCTATAGATATACGGTAATATTAGAGTAACTTCGATGTACAAATCAACCAGAAGGTATATAAAACCATCAGAAAGCAACAAAGGCAAAATTTATTTGTTTCAATAAAAAATAAAAATGAAAGAAAAGACAGAGAAGTAGAGAAAGCAGTAAAATGGAAGATTGGTGCCATAAAATAGCAATTACTTTATATGTGAATCAGATAAACACACTAATAGAGATTTACTGACTATATAAAAATAACTCAAAAACATGTTTCCTGTAAAATAACTTACTTTAAATTCAGCGACATGATTATGTTGCAAGTAAAGGAATAGAAAAACACCATGTGTTCCATGTGTATTGTTCAGACTTCTCCAAAGAAACAGTTCATACATATTTGGGTAGCTGACAGACTGCTAGGGAGCCAGGACTGCTGCAGCTGTGGTTCAGGTCCAGTCTGAAGGCCTGAGACCTGGAGAAGATGAGGGAGAGTTTTCAGTCAGTGGCTGGTAGGGCTGGGACCAAGAAAAAGTTGAGGTTTCAGTTTGAGTTTGAAGGCAGGAAAAAACAGATATCTCAGCCCCTAGCGGTCAGGTCGGACAAGCACCTCCCCTCACGGGAAGGCCCATGTCTATGCTTTATCCAGAGCCTCACATGGATGGGTAAGGCCCAGCGATTCACAGAGGGTGATCACTTTACTCAGGTTGCTAATCTCAGGAACACCCTCGCTGAACCGCCCAGAATAGCGCTGGTCCAAAAGTTAGCTGTACCCCACTCCCACCCCTGCCTAGTCAAGTTACACAGAAGAATTGGTCACCACTCAAGGCTATTTTAAACAGATATAAACTAAAGATGATCGGGTTAATACTCAACAAAGTAGGTTTGGGGGCAAAATAAAACTACTGCAAGGAGACCACTCAAAGGAGGGGAAGAGAAGGGGAAAGAGGAAGAATCATTCACCCAGTGTGTAAGCACAATAAAAGTCAACACGTCTAAATGAATGATCAGAATAAAGCCGCAAACTCTTTCCCTAAGCCATAGATACTTCCCAACAGGAAGCAACGCCACAGATACCTGTCCTAGCTGAGTCCATTGGGAAGTCCATTTCTAAGATCTGACGGTACCT